ACGGCCGTAAGCCATATCTCGAGCTGTGCATACACATATCACATTATCTCAAAGAGCAGCCCCTCGAGGAGCAACTCTAACCAAACAAGTTTATTCAGAAATATTTTTTAATTTATAGTTTGATTACAAAAATGCTGATGTCAGTGTTTTGCTTCATTAGCTGCATCACTACGCAGTAATTACAATTTCAATAAGGCATTCTAAAATGTTCCCCATTTTTGCAGAATCTAAATGTTAAGGTCAACATTTTGACATCTATGACTTTTCTAAGCGCCATTATCCAGAGCAATCAAGATAATGAGTGTTTAATTAGGAACCCAGTGCTGTGGGCAGTTTTGCACCGTAAAATAAGTGTGTAACCACCTTTCCTAGAGAGCACCTCGTTGTCCAAATAATTCAGGACTACTGAAGTCACATCAACATGAACAGAAAGTGTGTGTGTGCCAGAGGAGAAGTTGGAGGCTGTTGTGCTCGGCTGGAGTGACGGAAAAGTGTGTTTGTCTCCACACACACACACACACACACACACACACACACACACACACACACACACAAACACACACACACACACAACACACACACACACACACAACACACACACACCACACACACACACACACACACACACACACACACACACACACCACACACACACCACAGCACACACACCACACACACACACCACACACACCACACACACCACACACACACACACACACCACACCACACACACACACACACACACACACACACACACACACACACACACACACACACACACACACACACACACACACACACACACACACACACACACACACACACACACACATCACACCCACACACACACACACACCACACAACACACACACACACACACACACACACACACACACACACACACACACACACACACAGCTGGCTGATGATAATGGTGTGATGGATTTGGAGCAGTGGCACATGGCAGGGTGTCCAGGAAAGCCAGTTTTCAATTTACAGACACTGGGGTCTGAAGCCACGGTAGTAAATATCACCGGCATGGTGCTGTTTCTAACACAATAGCTTTATGTTACTGTATGTAACAGAGATAGAGAGAGTCACACAAGTAAAACTGAGACATGTCCTTATTAAGTCACAACCTTTTCTACAGCCATTGAGCCATATATGATATTGGAACAATACCTACTGGATTGGAGCAGAAGAAATTCCAAGACATCACACAAATGATTAACCATTTTAACAATACTTGGGCTTTTTAATCTCAGTGCAGCTACTTATGGAATAGTCATAATGACTCTGTGATTACAATCAGAGAGCTGCACTGGGGATAGTAAGCTGTGAGGCGCCATTAGCATGCACTACAGACCAGAGAAAGCCTGAATCCTCATAATGAAATCCAGCGGGTGTCAGGGGGTGTATTCTCCTCTGATGAGCCTGAATCATCTTTGCACCTTCAATTTCCCCTTTCCAGTAAACCCTCCCATTGTCCTTTCCAGACTCATGACTCCCCCTTTTTTTAAGGAGTCTGTAGCACATTTGTTATATAATGATGAAGCAACACAATGTTTCTAGCTGCTGGCAAGCTGGCTGAGAGCTTTGTAAAAAAGGACAAATCCTTCTGAACAAAAGAATACCCTCTAATTTGATTTATTGAAAATAAATGCAATTAATATTTTGTCTTTCTCTCCATGTTCTCTTTTCATGTTCTCCAACTCAAAGAGAGATTGTATCTTGTCCTCTTCTAATTACCCATGCTAATTACAGCAGGTAAGTGTTTATGGAAGCATTCACATGCGCTGGCTTGAATCTATGCCATAAGAAGCTGTGCTTATTAGCATGTCTACATATAACTTGAGCATCAAAGCGGTCATTAATGAAAAAAAAACACCAACAGTTCTTAAACACCTACCTACTAAAAGGACTTGACTCACAATATTGATATAACAATTATTTGCGGCGAGAGCCACGTGACTAAAAATTACGGCAGCCATGATCAAGGTTTTCAGCAAATGTCCAAGTCTGGTCACAGTTTATTTTCCACTAACCAGTCTTTGAACAATGCCAGAGGCCAGATCATGGTCCTGTTAGTGTTTACTTTTGTTCTTTCTTCTTCTGTTGATTTCTCTGAGGTCCAGCGCTCTGTTTTAACCTCTTTCCTTCTCTTGCACTGTTTTTCTTTTCTAGGGACAGTCTAGCTTTCAAGAATCTAAAGTTTCATTCGCTCCATAAATAAAACAATTAAATATTCAAAAGTATTCCATGGTGTTTTCTGATGGAGAAAACTAATGTTGGTTCTCCACAGCTGATGGTAAATGTACTTCTATGACATGCGGATTGATATGACACACACAGTCTCTTGATCCTCCTTAGCAACAGTCTGTTCTCCTTAACAGGAGTCTGTTATCAAAAACCAACAACCTCATTACTTAGTAGAATATATAAAATAAATGATTGCAAATATATACCCGCGTTAAAGAGATACTTTGTATCTTTCTGATTGAGGGCTCAAAAGGTGACCAGCTGGTATGACACGTGTGTGCTCCCATGTCACATTTCTCTGCTCTTGCCACCTGTATTTACAGCCACACATTTGCTTCTCCGTGCTGTGAGACTTCCTGCCAAATAGGCAACATTATAAGCTCCACTGTCTCCATTTAAATCATATGCAAATGTCTAAGGCCATAAGAGAAGATTGTGAGAAACTCATTTTATGCAAAGCTATAATTGTTATTCAAGCCAGGAAAAATCTAGAGTTGAGATAAAAAAAAAGGTCTGCTCATGATTTTACAATATTAACAGCCTTCACTTTTTTTTTAACTATATCTTTACTCACATCATCACATTGCAGTCACTAAGAAAAAGCACCGTATGACAATATTCGAGTAAGGAAGCCGCCTTTCATCACATTACTTCTTGGAGTATAAGCTAAAATAACTAACATAGCTTTAAATTGATGGGAAAATCAAAGTCTATCCTGATGCTGAGTGGACTTGGTTGCCATTATTGAAATGTATTTTTATAGCTGCAGCACACAACAGGAAGACATGTTGTTAGAGCCAGTATTTTTGATTTTATAAGGAAGGCCACCTAATTGTGACGTCTGTAGTCAACGCACTATAAAGGATTACAATTCCCACGGCGCCTGTGCTAAAGACACAGTCATGGGCAACCTGTTTGAGAGACGCCGTCGAGGAACAGTTTTTAACCGTACACGTACCGTACTACACATATAAATCGTACAAGTACCCTTTAAGTTATGAAGTTATATAAGCATTATTAAGAAAGAAAGAATACCTAAGTTGTTTATTATTTTTATTTGAGTTTTGCTTATTTCTTTTGAATATTGTAAAGGCCTATTTTCTTTGTTGCATGTGCAAAAGTTTGTTATTTTATTTTGAGCAAACACATCGCAACATCATCTAAACCAGGGGTATTCAACTAAAATTCAACGAGGTCCAGTTAGAGAAAATCTCCCCATGCAAAGGTCCGGAACATCAAAATGTCTAACTTGCTTTATGAATTAGTGTGATATATATTGAAGTAGCCTGTAGCTTTATCAACGTCTGCATGTAATCAACAACTGACTGCCAATCAAATAAAGAAAGTACAATTCATAAACAACAATATTTATTGTCAATGAACATTGAACTATACACATATACAGTAAATACTGTGGATATGTGTAATGTTCCTCTCGGGGCTGCATTTAAAAATAAAATAGAGAAAATAAATAAAATAGCTTTTGAAAATATGTGCATCTTAAAAGTGCTTAATTCTAGATAAATAAAATAAAGTGTAGCAGCAGCTTGAGTTTCTCTTTTTCTTTGTTAACCGTTTCACATCATGACTTAACAGTTTCAGCCGATTATAGAACATATCAGTCTTTACACATCATAACAATTGAACAGTTTTAAAGTTTCTCTTTCTTTCCCTCGTATATTGCAGTCCCTCACTTCAGTGCGAGAATTGAGCTTGAGCTTGTCCTGCCCGGAGTTTAAATCTGGGCAGAAATGGTGTCAGGGCCATTCTCATACACACATGCAGGTGCTCATTGGTTAGCCTCGGTTAGCCTGCCCTGGAACCATATTTAGTTTTAATTTTGATCCTGGTCGACTGATCATATTGGGCTCTGAGACTGCTTATTTTTTGTGACCTCAGTTCTGACTTGAGAGGGAATGTTTGGTCAAACACTTTGTGTTTTGTCTCATAGTGGCGTTTTGGCACTTTTAATGAACGCCACGGTCTCTGAATGAGACACACTGGTTCTGTGCTCCCAGTGGGCAGGATGAACATGAATGAGTCCACTCAGGGTTAAAAGCTCTGTTCTCACTGTCCACTTTCCTCTTCTTGGAGAGCGCCATGTGTCATTATTTGTCTCTCCCTGTCTGCCGCTAACACGCCTTTTCACTCTCCTCTCCGTCTTCTCTCTGCCGCGCTCTCATCTCTTCTTCTGTGTTTCTCTCCCTGTATCGCTCACTCGTCTCTTTTGCCCCCTGTCGGCGGCGGTTAAAATAGAATCGCCCTGTCAAAATTGAAATCCCCTATTAATGTATTGATTATAGGTCCGGGTCCGTATAGGTCGGCGTCTGGGTCCGGATCCGGACCGCGGTCCGCCTGTTGCCGACCCCTGCTCTAAACCATTGGAGGCCAAGCAACCCTTCAAACTAAGTAATTTAGAGGAAAGAAACGAGTTAGAACTGTCTGTTTAAGGCGTCTAATGGCTTGATAGAAAGACAAGGAAGGAAGCCACGACACATGTATTTAAATGTGAACTTCAGGATGTAGAATTGAGCCAGTCCATAAAATTATAGTCATGCTTCATTCTGATTTATGATGAGTGACGTTAGATAACTTAATAAACGGTGGTAAGTCATGTATTGCAGCAAACCCCTAATTTGGAAATGCAGAATTTGGGAGGAGGATGTCGGGATCAGTCAAGCATGTAACTAAATGATGTGATGCATAATGTTATTTTTCAATAAAAAAAGAGAAGGACTCACCACAAGCTTCTGGTCATGGAGAAAGTATTGTCCACTCTGGAGAAACAAAGTGACAGCAGATTAATCAACCAATCAATTAAAAGTTGATTTAAATACTGGAAAAAGGGAAAACAATGGAAGATCGGCGAAGTTTCTAACAATACCAAAAAAGTCATTAGTGGTAAGGTTAAGATTAATTTCATTAATTTGAATGCTTTGAGACAGGGTCTTTTTCAGTTAACACAAACCATTTTTTTCAAGCTGTTTTATTGCTTTTATTGGGGCTGCAACTGTGCCTAAGATGCATTCAGTAAATTCGTAATCAAATATGTAATATAAAATAAAAGTAATGAGTGAAGGAAGGCTAAAGCAGGGCTGAAATTATATTGTCTTCTAGTATTTGTTGAAAGCCGAGCAGCTGTGTTCAGTACAAGCTGGAGGCCAGGAATGTGCGTTTTTTCTTTGCTTAACCTTGAATACAATAAATAACAATATTCCGACCGAAATGAAATAAAAGCATGAATGACCTTCTCGAGATTTGAGATTATCTATAGCTGATAAAAACATGATTGAAATAACCTTGCCATCCATTTTTCGAAAGAAAGGTCACTGTGAAATATAAAACACCCAGGTGTCTGAGTGCAGGTTTAACATTTGTAGACAGAGAGATAATATGTTATAACAAAATAGGGTATGACTTTGTGGGACCAAATACAACTGTGTTTTCATTTAGCTGTAGAAGTGCTAGAAACTTTGAACACAACAAGGTTGTAAATATTTCGTACTTTTTTTTTATTTAACCTTTATTTAACCAGATAAAAACATTGAGATAAAATCTAATTTTCAATGCTGACCTGGCCAAGAAGGCAGCAACGTTACACATAACACATAACACAAACATATAAAATACAGAGAACATAACTAAGAAAACAAAAGACGAAAAAGCAGTCACTACATTGTGCACATTAGGACAGTAAGAAAAGTACACTACTTGTTACTGCAAGAGCAGCTGGTGGTGAGGACTTCAGACAACTTCAATTTAAAACATGCTATTGAGACAAGTGCCCTCAGTTTTAGGCTTGATTGAAGGTCATTCCAAGACCAAGGACCATAATAAGAAAGACTCCTTTTTCCAGCCTCAGTCCGCACAGCAGGTACCTGGAACCGTATCCAGGCACTGGATCTGAGGTTGTAAGAGTCACAAACTGGGGCAAATCTGACACATATGTACTGTGGAAGCTTACCTAAAATGGCTTTATACATTAATAAAAACCAGTGCTGCATCCTACGCATAGTAAGTGAGGACCATCCAGTTAGGCTATACAGTGTGCAATGATGAGTCCTATAGGGTGCATTTGATATATAACGCAGTGCAGCATGGTAAAGTGGGTCAAGTTTGGCCAAAACAGTGGGACAGGCAAATCTATAAATGGTATCACCGTAGTCCAGCTTGGACAGGAATAAGCCAGAGACCAACCTTTTACGGGATGAAATTGAAAAACAACATTTAAGTCTGAAAAGGAAGTACTGTGCAGTTTCTTTTTTATTGTATTTAAAAAATTCATTATTGGACAAACATTTAGGTGTTATCTGCATAACAATGGAGCTTATTTATGAATGATGTGTCCTAATGGCAACATATATATACACAAGAAAAGGGTGACAGGTATGGAGCCTTGGGGAACGCCAGAGTTCAGAGAGGCAACATAAGAGGAGGCCTCACCAACATTACTGAAGATTTGTTTGATCATTTTGACCAGTTTAGAGCAGTGTCCTGATGCAAACCCACTTCTTAAGGCAAATCTTATAGAATTTAGTCATCATCAGTGTCAAATGCAAAGCTGAAATTGAGAATAATTCAACATTAAACATCAATATCAATATCAGCCGTAAGTAAAAGATTGTTTGTCGGTCAATTTTGGTCATGGGATTTGAACTAAAATCCATACAATTTCTCATAAACATCTTAAGAAAAAATCTCCAAGTGAAACTTTCTGATGAGTCGCTCAGGGCATCAAAAGGACTTGATGTAGTTGTTTTATAAATTGCAGTATAATGTTCACTCTACTTATAGCTCTGCTTTTTCCCTTTGCCACTAATTCCTAAGGGAAACATCTGGCTCTTTGGCTGCTCAATTCCCCACTATGTTCATTAACTGTGCTAACTTTGCATGAGCTGTCTGCTGTGGCTGGAAACCATTCAGGTGAGAGCAGTAAGACTACTTCAAACAGTAAAATTGCAGACTGTAAAAATGAAAAGATGAAACGCTCCTTAAAGAGGAACCGAGTCCGATGACAACTATGTCCATCACTACTGACCCCCCTTTCTATACTAATTGCTATGATTGCCAATACAAACACTTTAATAAGAGCAGCTTCCCATATTGCCCCACTAGCGTTTCCAAGTGGTATTATTGTTGATCACACTGTTGCCAAAAAATGTATTGCTTTCGTCCCTGCCGATTAGTTTTCACACATTAAACAACTTATTCAGACCAGCAGGGAAAGCAAAGACATTCAAATATATTGTGATTGTACATTTTTCCAAATGCTGCTGAGAGTAATCACAGTGTATTGCCTTTCTGCCAAAAGCAAATAGTGTGTTTTCCTTTGCTGCAACTGACATAACAACTAGGCTTTATGCAAATTAATTTGCAATGACGTTGCCAATATGGAGAAGAGCGTATGATGTCATCATCTTTTAAGCAACTCAGAGCTATTGATGGATATTTTCATTAGCAGAGAGTTGGCTTTCCGCCTTTAAAGGAGAATTAGTTTTCTTGGCAGATCATACCCGGATGCAAACTGAATTGCATATTAAAGTGGTGCTGATGGGGAACCAATCTAAAGGCGGATGGTTTAATTATTCTATAGCCAACACATTATGCTCTCAACATTATGATAAGTTAAAGCAAAAAACACTAATGCCGTTTTAACTAGAGGCACAATTTGCCCTCATGAAGCCAGATGGATACGATCCACATCCCTCCCCCCTCCCCCCCTCCCCCCCCCTCCCCCGCTCGCTTTTCTTCCCTCAACCTCATTTATCAACACCTCTGCCTGCCAGCCACTTGCTAAGTCCATCCAACATTGGATTGTCTTGAAGATGGGAAGGAGCAGCTGGCAGATGTGCCGTGAAGGCAGACAGATTTTTGGAGACCAGTTATTACAGAAAGAGAAAGTCTGTGTTAGAAATAACCGCCAGGAAGAAGTTATAGGAGATTGAAAAAGTCAGAAAGGCAAGGCAAGGCAAGGCAAGGGAAGGGAAGTTCATTTATATAGCACATTTCAACACAAGGCAATTCAAAGTGCTTTACAAAAATGAAAGACATTAAGAGTGAAACATATTGTGAAATGACATTTAAAAACACTCATTTAAAAGCAAAGATACATTAATAAAAGTTACAGTGCAGTGTGAGATACACACATCTGAAATGTTTAGGTCTGACTCTCAATCATTGCTAACTTTTTAGCAGAAATTGTTTTCTATCACCTCCCTTTCTTTCTACTTTCCTTTTTAACTTGTCCTTTAGTTATTTCAAGTGTTTCATGCTAAACGAAGCCCCCTTTGGAAAATTATAATCTGACCCCATGGTACCTTTTAATTTTCGCCGAAACTATTCCTCTTTTTTAAAAGGAAAAGGTTTGTTTCACACGAGGGGTTTTGTGTGGCAGCTCACTTCTTAGTTTATTTCCTGCATGATAAATGATGCAGGGCAAAAACGACCTGGATCAGTCTCTGGAGCACCCAAGTAGACGCTGAGTGTGGACAATCAATCTCCTGATAATCGCCGCTTATCCTTTGCTTCCCGGGGCTAAGACAATCAAATAATTACAGTACCATTGTCATTCGGTGCCAATACCCTCACAGGCACTCGCTCCATTCGTCAGTTACAACAACACAATGACACTGCAGACTGTCTCCTGCCAGTGAATTAGGAAATAAAGGTAACTGAAGTATAGTGTGCAATAATAATGTGTGAGGGAGACTGGGCTCTGTGTGAGGTTACTGCTGGGTCATCTGAGAAACTTGCCTATCAAAAAACATTCACACTCTCACCTTTTCCTATGTTTTTTCAATGCAAACCAATGACATTTAATGTTGACTAAACCCATATACTTGCTTGCCAGTCTGTTGCCAGTATCCATCGACATTGAAGGAGAGACAGTCTATTGATTATTCTATTTATTTTCTCTGCCTCCTTAAAAAGTTTCAAAATAATAAAATGAGATTTCTGGCAATGTCACATAACGTTACATAAGAATTACCTTAAGGAGAGTTTGGAGTCAGGGATGCATTCAGGAGCAACACTTACATCTCATGTGATTTACTGCTACAGTCATAAAATATTCATAGATTATTTTTTAAATAGTGTGTTTATGCCAAGGAGGGTTAAGGATGGATAGGAACTGAGAGCACACTGACAGTTTTTTTAAGAGCAACTTTTGTAGCATGCCTCATACCTAGGGATGGGTATTGAAATGTTTGAAATGTATCGATTCCGATTCCGATTCCGGTTCTGCTTATCGATTCCGGTTCTTATCGATTCCCCATTTCGATTCCAAAATTGTAAAAGAAAGAGATCAAACGTTTAGATAACAAAAAGATCTTTATTCTTTTAAGCTTTAACTGACATTTTTACAAATAAAAAATATACACGCAATACAAATGTATTGCACAATAGCTGTGCTTTATTTTAACTGAGCTATGCCTGTGGCAAGCTATTAACAGGCATTACACTGTGCCTTGTCTTTTTCTTTTTTAGTGTAGTGGAGCCTCACTTTAGAGCGTTTACCGCGACCCATGTTTGGTGTTATGAAGTGACTGAGCTCGTGAACTGTCTACGGGAGGGCGGGGGGAGCCTCGCTGTGGGGCAACTGTGGACCTCTGTCGCCTGTCAGCGCAACTTACATGATGCCGTTTAAAAAAAATAAGGGCGGTGCTGGCCGTCAGCGTACCGAGCCGGTCGTCAACGGCCCGCTGACGACCGACCGTTCTGTGATTCTCCAGAACACACAGATGGCCAGTCCGCCCTTACCCTGGCTGTATTCCACCGG